GGGTGGTTTTGGTTTTGTGGGGGGGGGGGGGGCGCTGAGCTGGCTGCTGAGCTGGCTGCTGAGCTGGCCGCTGAGCTGGCTGCTGAGGCGGCTGCTGAGCTGGCATGGCGTGGCTGGCTGAATGTGGCAGAGGCAGTTTTGCCTGCTGAGCTGGCTGCTGAGCTGGCGCGGCGTGGGTGATGTGGCATACGCGTGCCTGCAAGGACACCCTCAGCCCCCACCCTTCCCCCGACCCATCCCTCCCCGCCCCCTTGCCTGCCTCCCCTTGCCCACCTGCCTGCCCGCCCGCTCGTGCAGGTGCGGCTCAAGGCGCAGGCGCTGGCGGGATTTGTGGGGGCGCAGCACGGCGCGCAGCGCATCTACGCGCTCCTCACGCTTGCCAACAAGCTGGTCAGCCAGTGCGAGGTGCAGGTGCGCTTGGGCCGGGGTTGGGGCTTCAGGGGCTGGGCGGGCCTTGGGTTGGGCAGGACGCGCCGCCTTGCCAGGCTGGCTGCAGGCCCGGCTTGCCAGGTTGGCGGTTGCGCCCTGCACCCCGCTTGCTCTGCGCCGCAGCTGTTTCCAGTGATGTTTCCTTCTTTGCCGACCTAGCACCAGCCTGCCTTCCTGGCGCCGCCGCTCGCCTGCCCCCCACGTACCCCACCCCTCCACACACCCGCCCCCCACCCTCTCGCCACCACACCCACACACACCGCAGGTCACCCGCCTCCACGCCTTTGCCTTCCCGCTGGCCGAGGTGGCGGTGGCGGTGATGGCGGCGCACCCCGACTTTGTGCCGCTGCTGGCGGCGCGCCTGCACCAGGTGGGGGGGCGTGCCTGGGCTGGGCCCTCAGATGGGCCGGCTTACACGCGTGTGGAAGGAACTGTGCCAGCGCAGCAGCAGCTGGGTTACTGCAGTGGTGGCGGTGTTGGCGCGTGGCTGCCTTTTTGCTTGGGCAAGCACGGGTGGCGGCCACGCCAGCCTCCCTTCCCATGCAAACCCGCAAACGCACACACACACACACACACACACACCTGATTTCCGCCGCCGCTCCCGCCGCCCGCAGCTCTGCCCGCTGACCGTGCCCAAGTACGCCGTTTTCCGTTCGGGGTCGGGCCAGGACGAGGACGCCTACCTGCGCCAGCTGGGCTACATGATCAGCGCTGACGAGGACACGGGCCAGGTGCGCGGCTGGCGCGTGGCCGGCACGTGGCTGCGGCGGCGGCGGCAGCCTGAGCAAAGCGCCGCCGCCCGTGGCGCCAGCCGCTCTCTGGTCTGGCTGCCGCTGCTGGCAGCCCCGGTACAGCAGATGCCGCGTGCTGCAAGCATACGGGCGCCTGCGCTTCCGGGCTGCCACGCCCGTCCTCCCATCCCATGACCCCTGTCCTTCCCGTGTCCCACTCCCTGCCCCCTCCACCCCCTGCCAGGTCACCCGAGAGACCACCGACGAGTTTGTGGGGCGCGTGCAGGGCTACCTCATGCTGTACGCCGCAGTCACGCAGGTGGGCGCCAGGCAGCGGGTGCGGGCGGTGGGGGTGGGGGCGGCGGAGGGTGTGGCATGCTGTGCTGTACAGTGCTGTGTGGCGTGCCTGCCGATCGGTGCCCGCGTGTCGCGATCGCCAAGACAGATGGAGTGGCACCCCTATCCCTGCCCCTATGCCCACACCCGCCCACCCACAATCACAGACACCACCACAGACACTCACACCGACACACACACACACACACACACACAAACACCGCCGTGCCGCACTGCTGCCCCTCCGCCCGCAGTCTGACAATCCTCAGAACCCTCACGGCCTCGGCCACGCCTGGACGCTGCTGGCCAGGTGCGCGCCGCCGAGGACCCCACCCATGTGCCTGTGTGCGCTGCCGGCCACCCCACCCATTGTGCCATGCCATTGTTGCCCTCCATTGCTTGCTGCCCGTCCGCTGCCAGCACACATGCCCCCTCCTGGCTGAACGTCCGTCAAGCCGCACAGCCGCACGCCCACTGCACCCCCTCGACGCTTCGCCCGCCCTGCAGGCTGCTGACTGCGCTGCCCGCCAACCGCGTCACGGCCACTGCCGTCGATGCCGTGCTCAAGGTATGGCGGCAAGAGGGAGGCAGGGCAGGAGAGCGGGGAGGGGGAAGGGCTCGGGGGCCGGGCCCTGGAGGCAGGGAGGAGCAGGGCGGTGGTGGCAGGAAGCGGGGGGCCAGTGCGCGGACCCTGCCTCTCACCTCCCTGCCTGCCTTGTTTTCCCTGTCTGCCCTCCCTGCCGTGCTGAAGGTGGCTGGCTACCGCATGCACCTGGCCTACCGGGGGCAGTTCATGAAGCTGCTGCAGGTGAGGGCACCAGGGTGTGGGGGCGGCGGTGGTGGGTGTGGATGGTGGAGACGCAAGAGCTGCGCTCCCTGCTACAGGCAGGATGGCAGCCCAGTCCTCCGATAGCTGCCCAGCCTTGCCTCCCTCACTGGAGTACTATACTGCATGTACCGCCTGCAGTACATAGATCGCGAGTTCCTCCCCGCCCTGGGCACCTCCAACGACCCCGACGCACGGGCGGTACACACCCGGTGAGCTGCAGTACAGCAAGTACAGCTGCCTATGCCTGTGCGTGTTTCGCGCTGGGTAGGTAGGGAGGCACGCCGTTGCCTTGCCGCCACCCCACCCATGCCATTTTTTCCTCTCACCTGCCTGCAGTATCTCGACCTACCTGCGTACCGCTCAGTATTCCAAGCCGCCAGAGGGGCGAGACATGCCTCAGTTCGACGCCAGCAGCTACGACCGGGCGTGAGGCGGTTTGTGTGAGGGAAGGCAGGAATGCTGGCTGGCTGATGCGGCTGCCCTCTTGTATCTCTGCTGTAATCATTTGTTTCAGTCCTACACTTGCAACGCTCCGTACATTGCTATTCATCCGTATTGCAATAATGTGCACGCATGGGCACTCATTTCCAGGGCCGCCTTGGCAAAATGTGGCAGGCATGACCCTTGGCTCAGCTGCTGCCGGTGCTGCTGCTGCGCCGCCATCACTGTGGCTGCGGCTGCCGCTCCAGCAGGCGCATGACCGACTCATACACCTGCACAAAACATATGAGAATGAGGTTAAGAAAAAGAGGGTCAACATCAAAACCCAGCCACGGGTGGTTGCACACCGCACCAGACCTTGTCAACGAGCAGGCGCTGCCGGCCCTCCCCCGAGCAGCAGCCTCTCACCAGGAAGGTGATGGCGCTCTGCGGCATGACCCGCACCACATTGGGCACCAGGCCCTTGTAGAAGCCGCCGGGGCCCTCGCGCTGCGGCATGGGGGTGTGGTGTGGCGCGTGTGGTGCGTGGGGGATGGTGGTGAGGGGTGGGGTTTGCGGGCTCGGCAGGAAAACCACGTGCATGGCTGCACGGGTTATTTAAACCAATCGAGAGGCATAGGCAGCCATAGGCATGCAGCGGCGGCCACGCCCGCCGGGCGCCGCGCCCAGCCCTCGCAGCGCCGAGGCCGTACCTGCAGCGTCTTGCGCACCACATCCCCCACCCCGCTGTACTGCAGCGCCCGCGAGTCCATGCGCTGCTGCAGCCGGCTGCGCACCACCTGCGCACACGGGGTGGGGGGGGCGGGGGAGCGCCAGGTCAGCATGGCCAGCGCGCTAGTATGAATTGAAGCCTGCAGTGCTGTGGCAAACACGCCTGCAGGCAGTCGGCCTGGCCAAGCACAGCGTGCCCCCGTCGGCTGCCAGCTGGCGTCAGCCTGGCAGGCGCGCCTCCCCGCCGTGCCTGCGAGGGGTAGGTGGTCACGGAGGCGGCCAGCTTGGACAGAGCGCCGCACGCGGTGATCTCTGGCGGCGACAGCTGCCTGGCCGGCTTCTGCTGGCCGGCGCCGCCCCTGGCGCCCCGCTTGACGCCGCTCTTGCCGCCCGGCGCCGGCGGCGGAGCGGCGTCCAGGCTGGAGGTGAACCCGGCGAAGCCCTGCGCCGCAGACTTGAGCTCCTCATACACAGCAAACTGGATGGCGCCGTGCGACACCTGCACGGGAGGCAGGTAGGCAGGCAGGCAGGGTGGCAGCAGGTGGCTGTGGAGGCAGGCAGGCAGGCGCGAGAGGGGTGGGGAAGGCAGGGGGCAGGTGGGTACAGGGGAAGGCTAGCCCACGGCAGGGCCAGTCCGGGGTCATGCATGGTGGTCGACTGGGGAAGAGACAGAAGCAGGGCTCTACCCAGCCTCTCCACCACTGCACCCCGCCCCTCGCTTCATCTCACCAGCAGCAGCGAGGGCAGGAGGCCTTTGTAGAGACCCGGCAGCCCCTCGCAGCGCGCTATCTGCACAAATGCGTGCAGGAAGCCGCGATACTCCACCGCGCACGCCTCCGATACGGCAGGCCCCCCCAGCAGCCGCGGGATGGGCAGGCGCAGGCCGCCGCGGGCCGCTGCCGCAGCCGCAGCCGCAGCCGCGGCAGGGGGCGTGGCGGCTGCTCCTGCTAGCGTGGCGGCCGCCGGCCCTGCAGCCGCTGCTGCGGAGCCTCCTAGCGCTGCCCCCGATGCGGAGGCTGCTGCTGAGGCTGCAGAGGCGGCGGCCTGCTGCACGGTCCGGCGCTGCAGCTGCAGGCGGGTCTTCACCACCCAAACAGGGTTGGTCAGGAAGCAGACCTGCAGGCAGCGCAGGCGGCGGCCGCTGAGGCCGGCTGGCAGGTGGGCGGGCGCAGCGCGGGCGCCCCGGCAGCGCGCGCAACGCGCCGCCGCGGCGGCGGCAGCAGCAGCATGCGCAGCATCTGCGCTTGGCCCTGCATCCCAGCCGCCAGGCACCGCGCACCCGCCCCCCAAATGCCCCGCCGCGCCTCACCAGCACCCCCGCCTCTGCCGCGCTGATCAGGTGCTTGCCAGGGCTGAGCCGGGCCTGCCCCGCGGCCCGCTGGTACCGCTGCTTAGCTCGGTTGTAGGCGAAGAAGTAGATGCCCCAGGCCATGCCGCTGCCCGCCAGCGCGGGGGTCAGGCCTGCCAGGAAGGGTGGAGGCGGCACCGGGGCATGGCAATCACGCGCGGAGATGATGCAAGGGGCGGCCGCTCCCGCCCGGCATGCCTCCAAGTGCCAAGAGGTGCCAAGAGGTGCCGGCACGCGCCGCTGCGGAGCGCAGAGGCTGCCTGGGCGCAGGCCAAAGCAGAAGCCCAGCCGCAGCCTGGCGCGCAGCACCCACCAGAGTAGAGCGCCTTCCACCCCTCCTGCCGCACAATCTGGCGCAGCGCGTCCACCGTGCCGCGGTAGGCGGGCAGCAGCCCCGCGCCGTCTTGCACTGCAGGCGCGCGCGGGTGGAGGCTGGGTGAGAGGGAGCTCCCAAGCACACTGCTGCGTGAGGCTGGCGGGCGGGCCTGCCGGGTGGAAGCACCAACCTTGCAGCCGCGTCTTCACAACATCCAGCGGATGCAGCGCCAGCTGGGTGCACAGGCCGGCCGTTGCGCCCGCCAGTGCATGCCTCCTGCAGAGGGCAGCCAGGGTGGGCGGCTGGGATGGGGCTGGGGCTGGGCTGGGGCAGCCCAGGGTGGTGCCAGGAGTTGCTCGGCAGGCGTGGCGGCGGCAGCGGTGGCGGCGGCAGCGGTGGCGGCGGCAGCGGTGGCAGCTCGCGGGGCCACCACAATGGCGCCGCCTCCGCATGCTTGGCGCCGTTCTGCGGCGATGTCACGCACCACTGGACCCCCTGCTTGTCGCCATGCTTCGCCATCGCGACTGCGCAATCGCCCGCGCCGCCCCTCCACCGCCAGTATGCGCCAACCCTTAATGCGGGATGGATGAAAGCATGCGGTTTGCGATCAGCCCTGCCGATGGGTGGCATGGGCGGGTGACCTGTCGCCGCCGACGACGGGAGGTGCTGCGGTATACATGCACCGCCAGCTCGGCTGCCGTGGCAGGGCCGTGCACAGGTAAGAGGGTGCATCTGCAGCCCTGGCTGCTGCATATTACGCCCCCTGCCGTCTACGAGAGGTGGCAGACGCAGAGAAGCTTCCCTGGCATGCCCCGACACAGCGCTGCTGCCGCCCCTTGGCGTGCCCTGCTGGCGGCGATGCGGCTGCTTCCCCGAACCTGCTGTCTTCCTCCCCGTGTACCTCAAAATAAGTATTTCAAATTTATTGCTTAAAAATCTGCATTTTCTGTATTCGGCTGGAGATCAGTAGCAAGCCAAGCCGTCAACTATAGCTGTGTTCATGCTGGCTAACCCAGGTCAGCCTGCTGAGGGCGGTCAGGGTTCCAGCAGGCACACCGCCAGGATGCGCCCGCTCAGCTCTGCCGGCAGGGACGGCAAGCCCCGCTGCGCCCGTGCCAGGCTGAGCGCCGCTGCCCGCAGCCGCTTGCGCTGCCCTTTCGCAAGCCGCCTCACCAGCCACCCCGCCTCGGCGGTCGAGCGCTCCAGGACGGCTGGCAGCGCTCGACCCAGGTCGGAGCAGGGTGCAGGAATCGAGTGCCACTGCTCCTGGCTGAGCGGCAGGCGGGCCACCAGGTCGGTGAAAAGGGTGGCAGAGCGCTGGCTGTACTGCAGCAGGATGCCCAGGGCTGGCTGCACCGCTAGCGCTGCCTGCACCAAGCAGCAGGCCGTCTCCATGACTTGCTCTGCTGTACCGTTGAAGTGGCTGTAGCGCAGCGCCCAATGCAGCGGTGTGTGGCCAAAAGCATCCAGTGCAAAAGCCATCGCTGGTGCCGCCTCTAGCAGCTGCTGCACCACGGCTGCGTTGCTGCGGCAGGCGGCATAGTAGATGGGGGAGTGCGTCTCAGCGTTTAGCATCGACGCTGCGGCAGGTGCCGCCGACAGCAGCAGCTGGATCACTCCAACCTTCCCAAGCTCAGCCGCAAGGTGCAGTGGGGTGGATTCGAAAAGGTCCACTGCCAAGGCTGTGGCTGGTGCAGCCTCCAACAGCAGCCTCACCACCCGCTCGTGGCCGAAGATGCTCGCCACATGCAGCGGCAGCCAGCCGTGCTGGTCGCCTTGATCGGCCCGAGCGCCTGCCGCCAGCAGCTGCCGCACCGCCGCCTCGTCGCCGTCTCCAGCTGCCTGACTGAGCTGGCCTGCCAGCTCCATCACACATACCACCCAGGTAGCCCTGCAACAAGTGGTGGCAAGTTTGGGGGTGGCGGCAGCGGCACCATCCGGCCAGACCAGGCAGCGCCCCTGCATGTGCAGGCTGCTGGCAGTCACGCATGGTGCTCCCCACCGAGCCACTGCCGCCAGGAGGTTCACCTGGGGGAACTAGGCGAGCGCCTGGAGGCGGGACCAGCCACAAGCCGACCAGGGGTGCCTCTCGTCCGCTGCTGAACCTACTCTGGAGCGCAAACAGCTGTAATGCAAGCAGCTTCTGGAGAACCACGGGTGCCCAGTCCGCCGCGCTGTGCTGTGTCACAGCAGGCACGCCCCGGCGCGCCGCCCAATTCCAGCTGAGCATCCCCCAAGATGCAAGGAGAACTGCGTGCGAACTGCTGGACACTCCGATATCAGGCACCATCAATGGTGCCTGCTCATTCCCTCTCCCTCCAGCGCCTGCCGTCGAAGCCGCCATGCTGTGGTAAGCCTTTGCCTGCCGTTTGGTGCACGATTTAAACTTCAGCTGGCTGCCAACAGCAGGGCCATGAAATAGCTGCACAGAAGCGGCTCCAACAGGATGGAATGAGCAAGGCGTGCGGAGGCGAGGGCGCCGCTTATGCGACCGCTCGACCGCGACGGGGCGGTCGGGGCTCCACTGCCAGCAGGCGCTGGCTGTCAAGGCAGGGTTGCAGGAAAACTGTGTCCGAGTACAAGCATGAAGCCATGCACTGGGTCAGTGCAGCAGCTGGATGTCCTCTGCAAAGAACTGAGTTATGCTGTCGTAGCACTGGGTGTGCCGGCCGCTGAACAGCGCCATCCTGTCGCACGTGTCCTCGGCCCCTGGCCCGCCCTCCCACGCCAGCCCGCGGCGGCAGCGGGGGCTGCAGGCGCTGGCCCTGGCCTTGAACCGGGGCGTCAGCTCCGTCGGCAGCCGCGGCACGCCGCTGCGGTTGTTCAGGATGGCCAGCAGGCGGCGAAAGTCGTCCTCTAGCCTCTCCATGCGCCCCAGCCAGTCCAGCGCGGTGCCGCCGTCCGCGGTGGTGATGCAGTTGGCCTGCGGGGAGGCGTGGAGGTAGTGGTGCTCCGCGGTGGCGGCGCAGCACCGCGGCGTCGCCTCGCAGTAGTCGCCGGGGGCGTAGGGGTCTCGGCAAAACCGCTCCCAGGGCACCAGCGGGCAGCCGGGCTTGGTGAAGGTGGACAGGTAGCGGTGCTGGCTGACGGCGCGGAGCAGCACGTTGCGGGAGAAGCCGAAGACAAAGTAGTCGGGCCACACGTCGAGCAGGTGGCGGACGGCGGTGGCGTTGGAGAGCGCCGCCATGCGCAGGCAGCGGTCCTTGGAGGCGGGGAAGCCGCAGGCGGAGAAGTAGCTCAGCAGGGTGGTGCCCGCCGTCTTGGCGCACTTGACGTAGATCAGCCTGTACCTGCTCAGGGCGGGCGGGCAGGCGGGCGGGGTCGCAGGCAAGGGGCAGGCATGGCGGGAGGGAGGGCGGGGAGGGCGCTGTGGCAGCAGCGGCAGACCCGCCCCTGTTCCACGCAGGCAGCGTCGAACGGTGACCGGACCTACGGCAGCAGCGCCGTGGCCTGGCTGGCGCTCCAGCGCCCTGCTGTCACCTGTCGCTATACATGATGGAACACCACTTGGACGGCGGCGGAGGCGCCTCGCCGCCCAGCCGCCGCCTGCGCCACGCCTTGGGGAAGCACAGCTCCTGGCGCGGCCGCCCCTGGCCCAGCAGGGACAGCATCCCCAGCGGCCAATGCTTGGTTATCCGCCCGTGGAGCCGAGTGGGGGTGGATGTGTCCAGCGCCAGGCGGCGCGAGGAGGCATCCCCTCCAGCCGTTGCTGTTGCGACGGCGACGGCGCTAGGGTGAAGCGTGCCGCTGGCGTAGAGCAGCGCGCTTCCGACAAGGGCAAGGGCAACGCCGCAAGCGGCCAGCGGTCGGAGGCCGCGTCTCCTCCGCGGCGCGGCGAAGCGCCCCAGCTTCAGCCGAGCGGCGGCGGCGCGGGGCGGCGGTGGAGCGGCGGCGGTCGACCGGCGCGGCGACCTGCATTGCGTGGTGGTGTCATCAGCACGATGCGAACTGTGCAGCGCCCGCCCGGCGGCCTGCCTGCAGCCGGGGATCTCACAAATGGCGGAGGGACATTCGCCCTACCTGACTGGACGCCGGCAGAAACTGGTACAGGTGCGATTGAAGGGAAGAGGATGAATGGCGGCGGCCCGTTCGCAAATTCGGCAGACCTGTCGCAGGCTGGCGCGGCGATGCCTGCCTCGCCCCGTGTCCCGCCTTCTCAGGTCAAGTGTGGTTGACAGGCGGTGGCGGTAGAACAAAATACCGCACACATGGTCTGGCCAACACAGCAACAGGCACACTGGGCCGCCCGTGCGGCAAAACTGGGGCGCTGACGGCTGGAAACGGCAGGACAGAACACTGCGATTGTGAGCTGCAGAGCACTTGGCCGCTGTCAGAACTGAGAAATCATAAAAGGCAGGCTGGCGGCGGCGGCCAGCCGTCAGTGGTGGTGGCGCCGCAGCTCCGCGGCAGCGCCGTCCGGCTCCGGCCCCGCAAGCTCTTCCTCCTCCCCGCTGCTGCCGCCGCCGGTACTGCCGCTGTCGTCGCTTGGCGGAGGCCTCACGGCCGCCGCCAGGCTGCTGCGCGGCTTGCCGCGGGGCTCCCCGCTGCCGCTGTTTCCTGCCGAAGGCGCCTCGGCCTCGGCGTAGCTGCCGCTGCCGCCGCCGTCGTGCCGCAGGTGCTGCTCCAGCGCCTGCTGCGCCCGCTGCATCTGCCACATGTCGTAGTAGATGCCTTGGGCTGCGGTACAGCGTGGCAGTACATGCAGTGCCGGTGATGGGGCAGCGCATGGGCAACAGGGCAAGCGGGGCCCGGCACGGGTGGGCTGGCAGGGCGGAGGTGCATGGGGTGCAGGAGCAGGCGCTGGAGGTGCCAGGCACACCACCGCGGTGCTGAGGGCCCGCAAGCATCTGCTGGCTGCCACAGCTGCAGGGGCAGGTGTCAGCGCAGGCCCGCGGCAGGCCGCCCACCAGCCATCAGCTGCTGGTGCGTGCCCTGCTCCGCCACCCGCCCCTCTGCCAGGACGTAGATGCAGTCACAGCCCTGCGAGGCGGGTGATGGCGCACGAGAGTGAGGTTGGGTTGACACATGGGTGGAGCTTCCCCACTTCGGATCTGACGTCTAGCTCTAGGCCTGGCCGTGCCAAGCGCAGCACCCCGTAAGGGGCCTTGTGCCCAGGCCCTGGCGATTCCAGTTAGCGACACTTAGGGGCATGGGTAGCCGCAAAAGTTCAGCAGAGCAACCGGTCAGAGGCCTGGATTAGCGGCCCTGTGGCACTGCGACGCCATCCGCCAGCAGCCGGAAACACTCGCACCACACAGCAGCAGCAGCAGCAGCAGCAGCAGCAGCAGCAGCGGCAGCAGCGGTGGCAGCAGTGGCAGCAGTGGCAGCAGCAGCAGCAGTGGCGGCAGGCACGCCCACCTGCACTGTGGACAGGCGGTGCGCCACAAACACGGCGGTACGCCCCGCCGCCAGTGCGCGCAGCGAGGCCTGGATACCTCTCTCGGTGGCAGTATCCAGCGCTGACGTGGCCTCATCGCAGATGAGCAGGCGGGGGCGCCTGTGGGCGGGGAGGAGGGAGAAGAGGGGGGAAATGAGGAGGGCACGGCCGGGGCAGACCGCAGCGGTGGCAGCACCAGGCGGAGAGCGTCGGGAAGGGGGTAGCAGCTGCGTTGGCTGTGCGCTTGAGGTGGGGCGGGGTGGGGCCACTGGTTCCCTGCCCTGCTGCCAAAGCGCAGTGCCCTCGAAGCTCAGTGCCCTCGAAGCGCAGGGCCTTCAAGCAGCCCCACCTGAGGAAGGCGCGGGCGATGGCCACCCGCTGCTTCTCGCCGCCGCTCAGCTTCAGCCCGCGCTCGCCCACCACAGTCAGCCAGCCTGCGCACCTCAGGGGCGCTCCCGGGGTCGGTACCAGCAGCAGCAACAACACGCGGGACACACAAGCCAGGCAGCAATGGACACGGAGCAGCGGTGCAAGCACAGACGCAGACAGGCGTGGCGCCTCACCCTGCGGCATGCGCGCCACGGCGGCGTCCAGCTTGGCGGCCGCGGCGGCCGCCTGCACCTCGCGCCAGGTGGCGCCGGGGCGGCCGTAAGCGACGTTGTGGAGGATGGTGTCGTTGAACAGGACGGTATCCTGCGGGGGGCGGGAACCCAGGCGGTACGATCCCTGGTATGGGTGTGGAGGATCAGGTGGCTGGTATCGGTATCCTGTTGATGAGCAGCAGCAGGTGGTACGCGAGGAAGTGCTGCCCGTGAGGGCAGAGGCGACAGACAGGTGCAGCCGCGCAGCAGGAGGGGCCAGGCAGCCGGCCGCGCGGCCCGCGCCAGGAGCGTAGCTGCTGACTGCCCAGAGGCTCGGGGCTTGCCTGCGGCACCACCGCCACCGCACCCCGTAGGCTGTCCTGCCGCAGCTGCCGCACATCCACGCCGTTGAGCAGGACTGCAGGGCGGGCACGGTGGGGCGGCAGCGGGCGGGCCGGGGACAAGGTGAGATGTAAATGGGAGCGGCAGACGACTAAGCCGGCGGGAGGAGCCCAGGGCTCTAGACGCCCTGCGCATGCAACTCGGGTCGGCATGGGCAGACCGGGCGTGGTGCGGAGCCCTCACATAGTCAGCCAGGCAGGCGGGGCACCCACCGGAGCCGGCCTCGCAGTCGTACAGGCGCACCAGCAGGCGCAGCAGCGTGGACTTGCCGCCGCCGCTGGGGCCTGCAGCGTGCGGCGGGGGTGCCCCAGCGGCGCGGCGGTTCAGCGGCGCGGCGGCTCAACGGTGGCAGCAGCCCGGTGTGGGTGCATGTAACCCAGGCAGCCATGGGCTGGCCTGGCACACGCAAGGCCCGCAGGCGCGCATGCGACCCTGGGCACCCATCCTCTGTTGCCCCGTGCTGCGCTGACACACGCCCCTCTCTCCATATTGCCGCCAGCCAGAAGGCACTCTGCAGCGCACGCCACACGTGCCCAGTGCCACGGCAGCAGGGGGCACCCACCTACAATGGCGATGCTCTCCCCGGGCTCCGCCGTCAGTGACACGCCGCGCAGCACGCGGCGGCCGCCATACCCAAACCGCACGTCTCGCAGCTCCAGGCGCAGGCCCCGGCTGCTAGCGGTGCTATTGCTGCTGCTGCTGCTGCTGCTGGCGGTGGTGGTGGTGGTGGCACTGTTGCTGGCGCTGGCGACGCCGCTGCGGGCGCCGGCGGCGCCGTGGCTGGCTCGGCGCTCCTCCAACGCCTGCAGCTGCTGATGCGCCTGCGCCTCCCCGCCGCCGCCGCCGCCGCTGCCACAGCTACTGTTGGCGGGGGCCGACGCCGGGCCTGCGCCTGCACCCGCTGCTGCATCAAGCGACTGGGCGGGGAGAGGCAGGTGGCCGTCTGGCAGGGTGGAGGGTGTGCGCAGGAGGTCCAGTAGATCCTCCATGTCTACCAGGCTCTGCCGCAGCTCCCGGTAAAACCAGCCCTGCATGGGGAAGTGGGGTAGAGGGGGGCGGGGACAGGGAGAGGGGGATGGTGGGCACGGGTAGAGGGGTGGTGCGGTCAGTGAGAGAGGGGTGGTGGGGGAGGGGAGGGGTGGAGAGGGGAGCCAGAGAGACAGCGAAAGCAGGGCGGTGGCCGCCGGGGGTGCAAGCATGTTGCACACACGGGCAGAGGCACGGGCAGGAGGGGCGCCCCCGGCCGCCGGCCGACACTCTGCCAGCCAGGCAGCCGGGCAAAGCCCAGCCGGCTTGCCCAACCAGCAGGAGGCTCACCAGGAACTGCAGCGGGGCCCACAGGTGCAGCAGCAGTCCTTGGATCATCACCAGGTCTCCAGCCGTGATGCCCGCCGCCGCCGCCGCTCCCCCTGCCGCCCCTGCTGCTGCTGCCGCCCCTGCTACTGTTTCGGCGGCCGCGGGCGCGGCGGGGCCCAGGGCCGCCGCCAGCATGGCTCCCGTCATGCCCGCCGCCAGGATGATGGCCTGCCCGGCGTTGAGGGCTGCGGCAGCCAGGTCGAGGCGCACCACAGAGCCCTGCGGGGCAAAGCGCGTTGGCAGGCGGGGTGGGCCACAGGGTGTGTGCTGGGAGTGGACTGGGGGTGCCAGCCTGGTGGCGGAGCGGGGAGGCGCCTCCCGAGGAGCGCCGCCACAGCATGCAGGTGATGTGGCGCCGTCGGCTGGGCTCATTGCAGGCAGGCTGCTGCCCCCCAGCACACACACACACAAGCTCAGATGCCAGTGACCAATAAAAACAGTACTATTTACAACACACTTACTGATGATTCATAAATCTCACTGCCCGCGTGCCCCAGGCACCCCACCCACCCACCTGGTAAGCCGTGAGGGATGTGTCGTACTGCCGTACCTCCAGCCCGCTGTTGCCAAACAGCTTCACGGTCTCAAAGTTGAGCAGGGCATCCACGGCCTTGCCTGCAGCGGGGGCGGTTTGGGGGCGTGTGGTGGGAGGTGGCTCACAAGCACACGCGCACACACACCTACCACCACCAGCCTAACCCGCACACGTAAACACCACCTATGTTGACCCCCAAAAACAGGAATTGATAAGGAAACAAAAAGGAAGTGTTGTAAGCCACCCGGGATCTCGTTGCCCAGCGCCCTGACCCCCTTCTCTGCCCCCATTCTGCCGCCCGCCCCTCCCAGTCACCCCCACACCCCTCCCACCACACCCCTCCCTCCCCGCCTCACCCGTGATCTCATTGTCCAGATCCTTCACCCTGCGCCGTATGCCCGCCGCCACCCGCGTCAGCGCCACCGTCCAGCCCGCGTAGGCGGCAAAGGTGGCCAGCACGAGGGCGGAGACGCGGGGGTGGAAAGCGCGGGCCAGGATGATGCACACGGCTGCGGGGAGGGTGGGTGTAGGGGTGGGGAGGTAGGAGGTGGGAGGGGTGCGAGCACTCGGCTGTGTGGGAGGCTGTGTGTTCAGGCTGCCGTGCGCTGGAGGGGCGCCGGGCCGGCCGCGCACGCCTGCCCGGCCACCGCCAAAACACATCGGCAAGGGCAGACATGGATGCAGGCGGCCGCAGCGGCGGGTTCCTTGCGACACGCAACAACCACCCATCAGCTGCGGCTCCTTTGAAACTTGTATACATATTGCGCCCACCCGTCAGCTCCACGGCGGTGGGCAGGAAGGTGAAGACGATGGCCCGGAAGATCATCGCCACGCTGCGCGCGCCGCGCTCCAGCATGCGGGACAGCGCGCCTGGGGGGGTCGAGGAGGCGGGTGCGTGTGTGGGTGGGCGGCAGGAACCAGCAAGGAGTGGCAGGTTTAGTGTACGGTCAAGCGGCAGCAGCGCAGGCGCAGGCGCCATTGCCTCCATGCCCTGCCACTGCTCCAAATCACCCCACCACCCCCAACTCCTATCTTGCGGCTGTGGTGCTGCCCCCAGCCCTGGCCCTGCACCGCTCCCCGCAGCACCGCCAGCCAGCCACCCAGCCAGCCTCCCCCCAGCCCACCCGTCTTGCGGTTGAGGTGGAAGCCCAGGTCTAGCGCCAGAACGTGGGAGAAGGTGTAGAAGGAGACGCGGCGCCCCGCATCCTGCGGACAGCGGCAGGGCGGCGAGAGGGAGGGACAGTCTGTGTGTGTGCGTGTGTGCGTGTGGTGGCGACGTGGAGTAGCTGGTTGCAGTATAAGCCAGCTGCAGTACCAGCCAGCAGCAGTACAGGCCCGCCCCTCCCCACGCGCCCACGCTCACCTGAGCCACCGGCGCAAAGCAGGGCCCCTGCAGCTCCTTGGCAACGCCGCTGATCGCCCGGCAGGCGCCGCCCAGCACCAGCGCGGCGGCGGCGGCGGCGGCCACGGCGGTGGCGCCAGCGCCGCTAGACAGCGCATCCACCGCTTGTTTAAAGTAGAAGGGGGCAGCCAGGCCAGCCGCCTTGGAGCTGCGCAGGGGAAGGCGGTGGTTTGGGGGGTCATCGGCAGCCGTGTGAGACGGTGCGCGAAGCACAGACCGCCAGGGAAGGCAGCGCTGCAGCGGCAGCTGCGCCGACGGCAGCACCAGCAGGCGGTGCCACGGCACCGCCATCAGCGGCGCCAGCACCAGCACCAGCGGCAGGGGAGCTGCGGCGGCTCACGTGGCGAGCAGGGCCAGCGCGCCGACCAGGCGCCACGTCAGCTGGGCCTGCCCAAAGGCCAGGCGCAGGAGGTACAGCAGCACCTGCGGTACATGCAGGCGGTACAACAGCTTGGATACCAGGCTACACAACACTAAACTTTAGTGCTCCTGCAACGCCGGGCCAAGCGGGCGCCAGGCACGCCTCTGCAAACAGCAGGGTCTCTGCACCCAGCGGCAAGCACCCACACACCTGGGGCGCGGTGGCCGAGGTGGGCGGCGGCGGCAGCGGCGCGGGGTCGCGGTACGCAGGGTCGGGCGCCAGCACAGGGTCTTCCTCCCCGGGAAGCTGCCGAGGCTGGGTGCCGGCGGCGCCGGTGGCAGCGTCCGTGCCGGGCTCTGCTGCGGCGGCAGCCGTGGAGCTGGCTGCCGCTGCTGCTGCCGCGGTCGGCGTTTTGCTGCTGCTCCTGCCTGCTATCCTCGTGGCCAAGCACGCTCGCGGGCGGCGCCCTGTGGCAGCGAAGGGCAGCGCCAGAAGAGTGCGGGCACAGTGGCGGCGTGCCGCCGCCGGTGCCGCCAGGCTGGCACGCCGGCCTGGCGCCAGCGCCGTGCCCCCCGCCATGGCGCCAACCAGCAGTTCCCTCATCCTGCCGCCGCGTGGGGCTCTGCTGGTACCGCCAGAAGGCCAGGCTTCTCAGAAGGGATCGGCGGCGGTGGCTAGAGCGCTCAGGCAGGGCAGGCAGGGTGGTCAAAGGGCAGGGACATCATTTGTGACTGCTCAGAGGAGCCCTGGCAGACCGTTCAGCATCGCGGCACCCGGACGAGCTGGCAGTGGCTGCATGGGCTCAGGTGGTGATAAGGTGCTGTGACACTCCCAACCGCCCTGCCCACATACCCTCCCACCCTTGGACAGACGTCTGAGGCCCACCGCGCGCTGCAAGAAGGATAGCAGCATGACCCAGCTCGCCCTCGCTCCCAGCAGCCGGTGAGGACCCAAGCCGGCGGCTTTCTGGGCCTGCGTGTCATGGGTGTTGCACGGTGCTCACCAGGGCCCTGTCGTGCTGCAGGCTGAGCCAGGCCACGGCATCCCGCCCTGCACCTCGGCACCGGCGCCCTGCCCTGGTGCGGCTGTCGCGGGAGGCCGAGCTGGCCAAGATGGCGGAGTACAAATCTGGCCTGGCGGCCTCCCTCGCGGCAGCACGCCGGCCAGGCGCCACAGGTGTGCTTGCAGGCGCACGCGGGGGCTGCCTGCACGCTTGCTCGCCCTGTTCGCCGCCGATGAAGCCCTGAATTCCGCTGCCGCTGCTCCCGGGCTGGCGCGCCGCCCCCGCGGCTCACACCAGCGCCCTGCCGCCGCCCCCGCCCGCAGCCGCCGCCGCCGCCGGCGCTGACGCCGCGACCGAGACGGCGGCCCCCGCCGAGGCCCCCGCCGGCAAAGCGTTGCGGGAGGTGACCAAGGAGGATTACTACGGCGTGATCCGTGATGCCGGCAGCAAGCTGGTGGTGGTCGACTGCTACACAGAGTGGTGAGCAGCGGCGGCAGCTGGGGTGGCGCCGCGGCGTCACGGCGCTGGCAGCTGGCACACGGGCGAGCACCTTGCTGGAAAGTGCCTGCACTGGCCAGCACAGGGCCGTGCTGCGGGGTGGCGTGCAGGGACGCCTTGCTGCCACCACACTCTGCGCCTCCATCTGTACCCCCTCCTCACGCTCTGCGTCTCATCGCCCCCCTCCCTCCGCCCGCACAGGTGCGGCCCCTGCAAGATGATCCTGCCCACGCTGATGCAGTGGGCGGAGGAGCTGGAGGGCAAGGTGGAGATCGTCAAGTTCAACTGCAACAAGCACAACAAGGACCTGGGCATCTCGGTGAGGCCGCGGCCCAGCCCTTATATAACATGGGATGTGCTGGTCTGTGGGCTGTGCTGGAGCTGGACGGCGCGCCTGGCCCCTGACCTGCAGCCGGCTGCGTGGATTGCGGCAGCGTCAGGCTGAGCAGCTGGCTGCTGCGATCAGTGGCGGCGTGGGTCGCAGCGGCGCAGCGTGGGTCTGGTCCGCTAGTTCTTCCCGCTACCTTCCTGCCATGCCAGCTGACGCACGGCTCTGTGGCCCGCCTGCCCTACCCCCCCCCCCCCCCAACAAAGAA